TTTTTTTTTTTTTAGGAGGGTACCTTCCTTCCAGCATTTCTCAAATTCCTTTTTTCTCTTGTTTCCTTTACGAGAATTCAAAGGCAGTCTCTTCACCCTCTCTATCTCGCCATTTCATACAGAAGCGCTAAGCTGCAGTCACACGGGGCTGAGACAGGACGGAGGACACCGAGTGGGATTCTTGATGTTGTTTGCATTTGAAGACACATAGTAACACATTTATGCTCCTATGCGATGGAATGTACGCCATGAATCTGGAAACCCTATCCTGGATAGTCCTGATTCTGTTACTCTGCCCCCAAAATGCCAAAGGAAAACATAAACACATCTTGAAAGGACGTCTGAACTGAGCCCAACTGACAGAAGCTGAATGTCACTGAACGAGGCGGACCCGCCAGCCCTCCACCACGGCTGGCCGGCCGTCTGGGTGAAGTGTGGCTAGAGGCTGAGTGAAGTGTGCGCCTTCACCACCTGCCATATTTGGGGTGGGTTTACCTCTTTGGAATGCGAGTCCTTCCTCACTTTATCACTATTTTTAAATGGAATTTGTGCAGAGGGAGAGAAAGACCCTTTCTTTCCAGTCTACCTACAAATATCTTTCCCAGTGAGTCTGTGTCTACGGAAGTCTAAATTTAATATGCCCATAAAAAGGAAAAAATAGTTGAACGGTTAGTTTGTCTACACCATACAAAAATGACTGGCTTCATCCATCTGTCTCACCGCATCGATCTGATCTGGGGCAGATGCACCGATTGTGTCTGTTTGATCGCCAAATGTTCTTCTACCTGCTATCAGGCGTGCTATTCTCCAAGGTGTAAGTGGATGATGAGGCCACGTGGGACCTTTGTCCTCAGCCATCCATGCTTTTCTTCCATCGAGTGGGGGAACCAGCAGCTCTTTGATACAGTTCTGCAGTTGAAGGCACCGCGGCGCTTCCGCATCTATTTTGCACTGCTAGGACAGGAGATTTTTTTTACTTTAAGTGAACAAACATTTATTTTCATTATGTTTCACGGAGACCTTTCTAAAATGTAATGCGTAGCTCCCTGCCTCCTCAAAGGGACCATATTAAACTCAAACGAACATTTTCCTGGACATTGAAGTTCATCACTATGAACCACAGCACTGCGGCAGATGCTATGAAGCTGGATACCCCCTGGCGCCATTGAGGACCATGGAGCATTTGACCCCAGCCCTCTTGGCCCCAGGCTACCATGTCCTTTATTCACTGTGTCAACTTCATATTGCGTTTTCTATCTTCTTTTCTTGTCCCTTCTTGCCGTTCTTATTGTGCTTTCGTCCCACAACTGTTTTGCTATCTTACCTCTATCTTTCTGCATCTAATTGGTGAGGTCAGATGACATTACCTGTGAATGCAATATCTAAACCATGACCAACACACCCAGGGCCAGAGGGGCTGTACTATGCATAAAATGCATATGCTTTTAGTCCGTGACGTGAATTATGGCTGCTCAGGTTTCCGAGTGGTGCTTCTTCCCCTGCTCACCGGTTTATTTCCTCTTCTTTTGAGCTTCTTGGCTATGTTCTGGATAGTGAGATTGCTGGGTAAGTAATCTCCAAATCCATGATTGTTTTTTCTCTTTTTGCCACATACAGGTTCAGTCTTAGTCTGAGTCACAAACTAGAGGTTTTGAAATGGTAGTTGTTTGGATTCACAAATGGGTAAAATATTAATATTGGTGTTTAGTTGGCTTTAGAATTTAAATAATTGCCGTAATTTATTTCGGCTTTGTTGACTTAAATTTTAAATTTTATTTTGCTTTGCTCAATTCTCATCTCTGATGAAAAAAACCCGCCCCCCCCGCCCCAGCAAGTGGAGAACGAAACTGTATTCACAGATGAACCATGATTCCTGGGAAGAATCCAGAGTTCTTATATGTAGAAAGAGTTCACTAGCAAAGATGAATCACAGCGACAGAGGATGAAATCAAGAGCAACTTAGCTCAGAAGTATGTGGCACTTTGCCGCTGGTCAAACTAGATCACTTCGAAATAGGCTTTAATTTTTTCATATATTTTAGTGTTTTCCCCAAGACTTTGTTTTCGGTTGAACTTTTATGGCCATTTCTATTTGAGGTCAGTTGTATGCATGCCTAGCTTGAGAGCTGCCTATGTATTGCTTGCATCACAAAAGAAATCATATTTTGCAACTAAATGCACTAGTCCACAGGGGGTGCACCTAAGGCATTGCTCTTGTCCCAAGGGGCTCCCAGGCTCGTTGCTAAGATAAGACCAGTTAATGCAAGGTTAAAAAAAAAAAATGAAAACCACACAGAAAACATATGTATCTTACAGTGTAACTGTGGATACAGGCTACAAGTGCCAGAGGGATTCAGAAAGGCAGGGAGACATTGTGTTCTAGAGATATCCGAGAAGGCTTCTCAGAGGGGCGTTCACCCAGGGGGTCTTGGGATTTGGTCATCCTACCTTCCCGGTGGAAGATGGGACCCATGGCCCCAAGGAGGGCACTGGGACACTGTAGGCCTGAGAGCAGCTTTCTCTGGGCAGAGGCTGGGGCCGAGGAAAGGCTCAGAGCTTAATGCAACCTCCTTGAACAGGAGGTGAGGAAGAGAGCGAAGGAAGGCCCCTGGCAGGTAGACGAGTTGGAACCAGTGATTCAGTCCCTCACCCACCTCCATCCGGACTGCACGAAATGTGGAGCCATCTCTTTAAACAGTGACAGTTCTTTCTCTCTCTGGCCAGCACACATGCACACAAGTCCTGCACTCTTGGAATTCGGGGCTCTACTCGGTGAAGCTTCATAGCATGGGGGAGTGGAGAGAGGGAAGGGAAGCCCAGAACTCCCTGTGTAGCTTCTTCCAAGTGCCCTCAACTTCCAGAAGGAAAGCACAGCCGAGGAGGGGAGATCCGGGCAAGTCAGACCCCCAAGTCCAAGTTTCACGGAAGTTTGTATTTTTCCTAAAGTTGTTTGAGAGACCTGACAGTCCTCGGGGGACAGAAAACCATCTCGTCAGGAGGAAGAAGGTCTGTTTGGGGTCCTTTCCTCTCTAATATCAATGGAGTGAGTCACCAGGAG